AGACACTTAGGCTGCCATTTGCTTTAGACAGGTGGTGCACAAAGACATTCACAGTAAGGTGTTCAAGTATAAAATACTGATTGATTGATTGATTGATTGATTGATCATTTATTTCGAGCATGTCTGATATGAGGTTTCCAACTGATTTTATTGTCAAGTATCAATGCTAAGAAATTAGTCTCCTTTACTATACCATCAAAGATGGGCTATGACATCTGCAGCAAATTGTCCCAATAAGCTACTTTCAATATGATTAATTTACACAGACGACAGAGTAGTGGCTCCATAGGTTTACTAATACCTCAGGTTTACAAATTTACCTCACAATCAGAAGATCCCCAGTTTGATCCCTGTAAGAGACACAAATCCCTTTGTGGGCAGGGTAAGTGGCATTTCCAGACAATTAAGAGTAGAGGCACCTGATTAAACTGTGTTATCTTCCTTTAAGGCAGCTCCATACAGATGTTTTAAGATGAAAATTTCTAAATAATGAATCTTTTGATAATAAAGATTACAGACCCCTATGATAACACGCATCAGTTTCTTCTTCTATTTTCTATCTTCCAAATAACGTAATAACTAAACTTTAATTTCTAACTCCTTATAAGAACGTTTACATCAATGCACCACAGTGGATACTTAGAACTGTATTAAAGAGATTTTTGGGATGCCAGTAGCTCCATTTAAAATAAAATTACTGGAAGCATTACAATTAATTATGGAATTGTTACATTTTAATATTTATTATTTTATGAATCAAGAATAAACGCCTTTCAAAAACAAATAAATAAGACATCTTTTAGGAGTCAAGGTGCATATGGAAAAATGTAACCCGTAAAAAATAAACAGAAAGGCACTAACCAATGTGCTAGGACTAAACAACAACAAAAAAGCCAGATTATAAAACGTGCTCAAGGTTAAATTTGCATAAAAAGCGCCTTCAAATAAACAAAAACAACCCAGTTTATACTCTTTTCTCTTACTTTGAGCCACTGGCTGACTGGGCCCACAGAGGCCAAGTCCATGGATACAGAGAAGCGTTCTTACTGTTGGTAGTCGCTCTTGCAGTACGGCTTTGTGTCTCTGAAGTAGCAGGTGTCGGTGAGCGGTTGCTGGCACGCAGCGCACTGAAGGCACTTCTGGTGCCAGGACGCGCCATTGACCCTCATCAGGAAACGGTCTGAAATGATCTGCGCGCAGCCCTCACACACGGCCCGCTGTCGAAAGTCAGCGCCTGATTGACAACAGAACAGACATGAGCCGCATGAACTAGAAGGCTACAGCTGATGTAAAAGGGGAGAATGCTCCCGAAACTGCGACTGTGATTTGCACATAGCCCTGTAACTCGGGAATATGAATTATTTGTTAAATGTCCGAATCATCCAAATAAAGCGCTACCCAGACGAACCTGCAAGTCACAAAGCTCTTGCTGGAATATAGAGGTCATCATGTAAGCACATAAAAAAAATATGTCCATTCTACTGGAAAAAATCTGCAAACCTGGTAACAAAAAATAAATTCACTTTTTTTTGCGAATACATAAAAAATTAATTTCTTCTCTTGTTTATTTATACGTTTTCCCTAGAATGGTTCATTTCAGTAAATCAAGAGAATCGCCTGAGTGAATAAAGAGGACAGAACCTGCTGGGGTTGTATATTCGTATTAAATGCTACTTATATTTTTATAACGACTAAAGAATTCTCTTAGAGGTTTATTGGGGAAACTAGTGGGAGAGTTTCAGTGTTGTACGCCATAAATTAACACAGGGATTATTCATATCTCTTTAAACCGAAACATAATTTTAAAAACAACAACATAAAACATAACTAAATAAAATAAACAACAAGACTACACAAAACTGCCCCAGAAGCATGAAATATAACAACGTAATTTGAAAGAGTTTTTATGTTAGAAATTATGCGTCGTAGCAGCACACATATAAAACATGTTTCATAAAATCAAGTGGGGAACATGTAGCCATAATAATATCATGAAAATATAAAACTGAAAACACAGTCTCGAACCTGGACAGACCCAGAAACAAAGGCGTTGCAAAATTAGCTTACACTCTTCCAAACCTGTCAGGAGATGGGAAAGCCGACCATCCCGTTGTGCAGACAAAAAACAAACTCACCGATCTTACCATCCAAAGAACTGGTATCGCTCCGCAGTTGATCCTTCATTTCAAAGTCATTCAACATCTTTAA